AAATAAATAAATAAATAAATAAATAAATAAATAAACATAGTAAACTATATTAAATAGCAAAAATGATTGTGAACTGATAGGCAATTCTAAAACACAGCTTCTTGATCAACATCGCTCATTGAACATTAACACAACATTCTACGGTGCACCTAGTTGCAGTGGCTGCTAGCTGTAGCACTTCCAGCACCAATGCCACATTATTTCTGCCAGAAAACCAAGCAGAGGCAGACTATCCTGGTCCTGGAGGGCCACTATCCAGCACGTTTTAGGGGTTTCTTTGTTCCAGCACACCTGATCTGAATGAATAGGTGATTAACAGGCTTCTGCAGAACTTGTCGTCACTGAACCAGGTGTGTTAGAGAAGAGAAACAAGTAAAATATAAACGATAGTGGCCCTTGAAGACCAGCATTGCCCACCCCTGCTTTAAAGGTTTATAAAACAGCAACTGCATAATTGGTTATGCTTTATTTAGGGTTGGAATTGCTTTAAGACAGCAGCATGTTGCAGATTAGCTGTTTGTGCTTAATCCACTCAACTCCATTTCTTCAAAGTTGACATTTTTTCAAGAAGCTATCTACAGCAGGTAAGCTGTTAATTCTTCATAAAATCTTATCCCAATTATTTATCTCTTTAGGTTTCAGAGCTAAAACATGCAGACTTTATTATAATACCTACAAAATAAAAGCTACAGTTGTGAGAAAACTCAAATGCTCTCCCTGCTATCTGATTCTGTCAATGAAGACTTATGCAACATGTCTCAGTGTGTCTCAGGTACTGGTTTTGTGCGGGACACTGAAGACATCCTGCAGCCTCTCCTCCACTCCATTAGGCTGTAAGTGGAGGCGGAAGTGTATCAGATGTGTGTGTCTGGTGTTGATATATGTATGTGTGTGTGTGTGTGTGTGGGTGTGCGTTCCTGTTGCGTGGGGCATCACTTCAGCTGTATTGGGGTCAGGTTGGGAAATATAGAAGCTTCCAGGCACTCAACACGTAATTGAAAATCTATTTCGCTCAAAGTGAGGAGAGGGAACCAAAGAGTGGAGAACAAATGAACGAAGGGAGAAGGACAGAGGAGGAGGAGGAGGGGTGGGATAGAAGACCAAAAGATAATAGTTATGGATGGGAGGGGGGAGGGTGTGTGTGCAGGGAGGATGGCTAGAAACAGAGAATGAAAAAGATATTATTTTAAAAGGAGGCGTGTGAGACAGCAGAGGAGGCAGGTGGAGGTGAGGGAAGGACAAAACCACTTCTTCATCGCCACCCTAAGTGGATAAAAAGCGAAGGAGACGGCTAAGAACAGTTCATTTTTCCATCCTGGTGGAGACTTCCTCCCTGCATTATCCAGTCCCCTCTGATCTGTCACCGTGTGTGATCTTTACACGGAACACGGACTCCCATTTTCAAGATCTTATTACTATTTGAAATGAATCTGTCACATTTATACAGTATTCACAGACAGAAAAATAAAGATGTTGAGAGCCAAATATAYACTGACTCGAAATTAGCATTTTTATTAGCTCAAACACAAAGATATTGGGGTAATGTAATGGATACAGAACAACATTTTTAAACCTTAAAGCCATTACTTTGATCAAAGTGAAGAAATAATATCTGGTTTTGAGTCTGAGCAGTCGTAGTTGGTTTTATTTAAGAGCAGAGTTGGACCTCACCTTCCGCTGTTTGCCAACTGGGATAACTCCCTCTTCTCACGATTAAACAATCTTAATAATGATAACTATCTACCCACAGTATAAACAACCTACTCTATTTGATATACAGGCCTCATGTTCACCATTTAGTTGCTAAAAAAACAATACAATTTTACTGATTTTTAGTAAAAATCCTGTAATGCAAATGCCTCACCACTAGGTGGCAAGAGAGTCCACATTAACATCACCAAAATACAAAAAAAAAAGTTTTAAAACTTAATGTTTCTAAAAATCTAAGAATTTCCTCACAAAAAAACCACAGTTTTCATTTTAATGAGAAGCACAAACAGGCGTTCAAACATATGGACTTTTAGCATCTTCTAGGTCTGAATACAAATTGAAATAAATAAACAAAGACAGAAAAAGTTTGTGTTTACAGACTGTTTTCACCTTAGCTCTTTTTGGTTTTATTTTTCGGGGTGGGGGTGGGGGTGSGGTTCTAAAAAACGAATGAATAAATGAATGAATGAATTTGTTTATTTGGACAATATGCAATTAAAACATAAACATAAAAACATTTGTTGCATTGCACCAGATTTAGCCTTAAGGCTAATTTACATCTGTAGTCCTCCAGATAATAAAAACAAAACCACATCCAACAGTAATAAAAATAAGAAAAAAATAGAAAAATTATAATAGTATAAAATAAAACATTTTGCAATTAATAAAAATACATAAACACCCCACCCCACTCTCCAAACATAATTAAAAGTTATTTCACCGAACATCCAATAAACATCCAATAAAAAATAATTCCTTGAAAAATGCTTTGTTTAAAGTGTTTTTGAAAGAATTAATTGTACAAAACACTTTCAGACACTAATAAAAATGTTTTTTTAGGTGCAAACTTTTTATATATGCAACTGCCTGAAAAATGATACCCAAAGAAAACATTGGTTTTAATATTATTGTAAAAGTTAATTTTAGGAGAGATAACCTTTTATGTAAGATGAACAGAACACAGTGATTAAAACTAACTGTTTTTGCTTCATTTCTGTAGTTTGTTTAATTTAATGGGATTTTGGTGCTTATGATATCTCATGGTAATTTGTAACAATTATAAAGTGTAAACCTACAAATTTGTACTTGGATAACAACCCCCTAAACTGACGGGAAAAAACATTTTTTAAAAAGTAGCGGTAATTTTTGTTTGTTTGTTTTCATCAGAAATGTTTGTTACCAGTACAGATGTAGTAAAATTAACATAGAAAGTACCAATTAAATTATACCTATAATATAGCAACATTTTTGTTAGATTAAGACATAATGTTTTTCTGAACTAATTTCAACACTGAAAAAAATACATTTAAAATATTCTTTAGTTATTCTAAAAAACAAAAAGATCCTGGATCAGCTGAAGACATGAGTCAGCAGAAATTTGTTGTCTCACGTTGTCCTTTTTAACTCCTAGTGGCAGATTTTCTGTTTTATTAGTCTAAATAATCTTTGCTCTGGTACTCTAAGTTTAGCTTTGCAGACTTTGAGTTTTAATCTGTTATTTTATAACATTTCACTGAGACAACCGTTAGTTCCTCCACATCTTGGAGCTCATTCTTGAGTTGCTGTGCAAATATCAAGAATATTATATATTCACCATGCAAATGATTTTTAGTCCATTCTTAAAATCCTCATTTATATTTTTACACAAGCATGATTTTTTCAWCTACAATATAAATACACACTATGTGCAGTTTGTAAAAATTACAGACAAGCTTTTTTTCATCTGTTCACATGCGTGAGTGTGAAAGATGGTGCGAATAATTGTGTGTGTGTGTGTGTGTGTGTGTGTGTGTGTGTGTGTGTGTGTGTGTGTGCCTGAGGCCTCTTCATCTCATCAGGAGAAATCTATTCTGCTCAGACTCATCCAATAAGGTGGGTAATGATACTCCACTCTAATATTGGGACTGTCCAAATTGAACACATTTAAACTTTAATGCAAGTCAAGTCCTGGGGAGAATGTAATCTGCTCCACTTATTGTGTGTTTTGGTGTGCACGCACACACGTGTGTGTGTGTGTGTGTGTGTGTTTTGAGAGTTGCGAACTTATGTGCATGTTTCTGTGAATTATGAAGCACGTTTTGCCCCTCTCTGCTGCTGCACTAATGAATTTAAATATGCTGAATTAGTTTAAAGAAGACAGAAAGGTGAGATATAGTGTGAAACGCTGCATGTGGAGGTCATGTGAGCAGTTAAAGCACCGGTGTGTCTGTGTTTAACGGGCCCGCTGAGAGCAGCTTTTCAATGAGAAAAACACTGTTCATCTCAATGACTTCATTGTTTGGATTTTTTTTTCTGGTGGGGCTCTGTGGAAACAGTATGAACAATAATATCTTACCTGTTTAAGATAGCTTTTTGTAAGACCTCAGTTTGGAGAAAAGGAGTTGAAAAGGAGTTGATAAGGCTAACAGCGAGTTCAATCAAGGTGGATAGCTGCCATCTAACAAATTTTAATCTAAAAAATGTTAGTGTGTACAATTTATGAGTATATTTTGGAAACCTTTGCACTGCCRTCTGTTTGTATCTGTATTGTGTTGTGATCTTTTGTTGAGTTTATTAGTTTTTGCTTTATTTTCTGTGTTCTGTCCCGCTGTGTTCTCGTTTACCATCTGTTCAGTTTTTCACTTCTTCGATTTAGCTCCTGCTCCTTAGTCTGGCCACGCCCACTCACACCTGTTCCCTGTCTCGTTAAGCTCAGCTGTTTCCCATTTCCCTCGCTCAGTCCTTACAACCTCTGAAATCAGTGAAGACACTGCTTCTGGTTTACTCTCTTGTGTTGCCTCCATGTTTTTTTTTTTCAAGTTCTGTAAGCTTTTCCTGCTGCCACACCACTCCTGTCTTTGCTAAATACAGTTTTACTGATTTTTGAAGCTCCTTAAGTCGGCCTGCATACAAGCTTTGATGGTCTTCAAACTGCATCAGATGGATATTCTGGCAGCTATTTTATGAAAATCCTCCTGAAGCCCAGAGAAAGGCTGCAGCTAGCTGCTGTTGCTGGTATTTCTATGCACAAAAAACATTAAATTGTAAAAAAATAAAATAAAATAATAACAATAATAATAAACGAAGTGCAAAGTGAAGTGTTTATGAAACAGTGTTTGGATAAACTGCTATGCTG